TGAAGCATCCTCCCATGGTCGAATGACATGAAGGTCATGCTCATTGGCATCTCTAAGCTGTCCAAGCTCCTCCTCTGATACAAACAGGATAACAGCTCTCTATAAAGGCTGAATGAGAGCACATCACTTAAAGCTGTCCCAGTGAAAAAGACCCCACTAAGGTAAAGTCAAACAACTGAAAAATTGAATATTTATTTAATCTACAGTATCATGGTTATGATTTTAGGTTGAGGTACTTCATCAATATTTTCTCCTTCCTGTTACAAAGGTTCAGTCTGTGGTTCTATACAATTACTCACTGCAGTGTTGTTATTCGTGTTTATTGATATTTATTTAATTTGTATAACAATTGGGCAAAAATGTCTTTGTTGTTTTAGGGCTGTATGCCTCTTTCTTATACCTTTTTTGTAAGCAAAAAACTTTCTTTAACACAATGTATTGCATTGCAGTTTTGCCTTTTAACGTGCATCTTAAGTTATTTGATTGCGAGAGGAAATGCTCAGATGGTCTAACACTCAGATTTGCACAATGTGTGGTTTCCATAAAATAAAGTGTTTTTTTCTTTTTCCTTCGGGGTCGTTATGGGGGATAATTAGTTGTACTTCCTTGTCGTATGTTTATTCATATTTATTTGAATTTTATAGTAATTTGTCAAAAATGTTTCACTGTTTTTGGGCTGTATGCCTTTTTCTTGCACTTTTTGTGTAAGCAAAAATTTTTTTTACAATGAATTACATTGTAGTTTCGTTGTTTAATGTGCATCTTAAGTCATTTGATTGTGAGAGGAGATACACAGATGATCTTACAAAGAGAATGCAACGTTTGGAACAATGTGCGATATCCATAAATATTTTTTTCTTTTTTCTTCGGGGTTAAGCTCATTTGTTGAACTTCATGTAGCCTAGTATTATTAACATAAAGTTTAACTAATAAAAGTAAAGAGCCAGCATTCTGCTTAATTATTGGATTGCACTTCTGCTGATTAATGTGCAGCTTTTATTATTTAAATGTGACGGTAAATATCAATATGATCAATATCACAGATACAGACCATTCAGCTTATTCGGCAGGATGTGTGGGAGACAAAGGAGGAATCTTTAATTTTTGATTTTCCTTCCAGGTCGTTGTTATGAAGGATAATTAATTATACTTCCTTGTCGTAATAATTTTTTAACTGAAAAATAAAAATGATGATTTTCTCTGTGCTCCAGCATTATGAGTTTCAAAGCGATGCAGATCGCAGCCCTTGGACGACCATTACACCCCGGAATGCTGTATGACTGCCGTGATGACAGCTTCATTCCAGGTAATGGGATTAGATAGAATCTTCACAGAAACATTCAGAACATTTAAACTTACCTCTTAACCCCTTCTAAATAATATAATTGAATTACTGAGTTTTATTATCGTATGGCTGATATATTATGAAATATTGCAATATAACAGAATATTTTAACTACATATTAGTGCTTCCCTGTATTCCCCTATTACTCCAGGTGTCACATTGTGGGATGCTGAAGATATTGAAAAGAACATGACCGTACATGAACAGAACCAAACAAAATCTGAAATCACTGCCTCTGACTCTCTTAGTAAGAAGTCCAGTCTGCTGGACATAAGTGCCTCCCTGAAGGTGAGCGTCTTGGGGGGCCTGGTTGAGGTAGGAGGGTCAGCAAAGTATCTCAAAGACACACTGACCTTGGAAAGTCAGTGTAGAGTGACTATGCATTTCAGCCAGAAGACTGTGTTTAAGCAGCTCAACATGAAGAATACTAGCAAAATAATTTGTGCAGATATGATTAAACATGGAACAGCCACTCATGTTGTGACAGGTGTGCTGTATGGAGCTGATGCCTTCATGGTCTTTGATCATACTGCTTCCAAGAATGAAGATAAGCAGGAGATTCACGGTAAACTAAAAGTCATGATCAAGAAAGTTCCAAGCATTTCTATTAGTGGTGACGGAAAACTAAATATGACACACGAAGAACAAGAAACGGTGGAGAAATTCCAGTGCACCTTCTATGGTGATGTCATACTGAAACAAAATCCAACGACCTTCATGGAAGCAGTGAAAGTGCATAAAGACCTGCCAATGCTTCTAGGAGAGAGAGGAGAGAAGGCTGTCCCAATGACAGTGTGGCTTTACCCTCTGAAGTACCTGGACAAGAGAGCAGCCAAGTTAGTGCGGGAGATCGGAGAGAACCTGATTATAGAGGTAGAAACCACCATGGAAGACCTTCAGAGAGCTACAATCACAGTCAATGAGCTACTGCAAATCAGTGAGACCATTCAGGCTACTGATATACAGGCCAAACTGAAAACATTTCAGGAGATGCTCAGGCAATACAAGATAACTGTCCAGAAAAAGATGTCAGTGCTTATTCCAAGAATCTGTAATGGAGAGACAGATGAAGACGAATTGATGCAAATTCTTGAATCCCACTCCAGCTCACCTTTTACAACAGAAACTATGAAGAAATGGCTGGATGAAAAGCGGAGTGAATGTGGGGTGCTCAGATCTTACATTGATGCCTCTGAAGATCAAAAAGATGTTCAAATAGTGTCTCCTACACAGCACAATACATTAATTTTTAACCCATGCTACCCAACAATCGTCACATTTGTCTTCACCTCCCTGAAGTATGATGAGCCATACATTTCGGATGTCAAAGAATTTCTGCATCCTAAAGAGCCCATGAAACAAATTAACACTAGAGATTCTGTTGGGAAAGCTGTTGAAGATGACAAGTCAACACCATGGTTTCTCACACCTGACATATCACAGACCATGAGAGAAACCTTTGACCGGTTCAAAGACTTGGTCAAAAATGAAGCAAAGACAAGCAAATTTGTCATCACCTACATCTCTAACCCCACTCATCCTGGGGCCTCCATCTATCGCTATCAAAATGGGAAGCGGCTGGATACCTAGTACAAACCCAAAAATAACCCATCTACACCTTAAGTACTTGGCATACGGGACAGGAGTATAACACTGAAGCTACAGTCATCTACAGCCTCAAATATTTTGCAATTCAAAGTGGAGATCAAGGAGGAGAATGGAGAACATGACTGGAGGGTTATAGATACACATGAAAATCAAGATCAAGAGACCTGGATCATCTCAGGGCTGCAGCCAGACACTGCGTATCTTCTTAGGTACAAGGCAGTCGGTGCTGGTGGAGTCAGCGAGCCCAGTGACGCTGTGAAGATTCACACCAAAGGTTTGATAGACATTTCAGTGTAAAGGTTTTTCACAAATAAGTTTTACTCCACATCTTTCAAAATCAGGCAATATATATTTTGCTTGTAAAAAGTTGAGAATTACCTGTAATAAAATAACTTTTCATTTCATGTTGTGAATAACATGTTTTTGTTTAGTTGTTATTTTTCTAATATTCTAAATGTTACTGCTTCTGTTTTGTATTAACCCATAAAGTTTGCCGGTGTACTCACTAATGAGGGAGGAGGCTACAGCCCTGGGACTGGCATCTTCACCTGCCCAGAGCCTGGATTTTGCTACATCACAGTGCATGTAGCAGTAAATGGCAAAGCACAGTATTGCATCTTCAAGAACAATGAGAAAATGGTCACATCTTACACTGAGACGGGAGACACAATGGTGTCTTGTGGCACTGTAATGCAGTTGTCTAACAATGACAGGGTGTGCGTCAGAATTTGGGCTCCAGACAGGAACATACAGTATATTCTACTGAAGATAATGATTCAGTCTTTGCAGGATTCCGTCTGTCTTGATGCTTTAGACACACAGTCAAAAGTATCACTCTGGGGTAATTCCTATTCCGAAACATAATCTTTCTTCTTGTCAGTTTACCGCTTTTCTTTCAAACTAATTATTAGCTAAAGATTACATACTCTTCAGTTAATCCCAATATATCACTTTCATTTGCATAAATTCTATTGCATTGACTCAAAAATGTTATGTGTATGTTAACATAGGGGGTTTTTGTGAAAACATCTGGAATTGGAGTTTGCTGATTTTAACTGTGTGGAAGTTATATTTAAAATTAATCAGTACAAGTTAAGAATTTAGTCAGTCTACTTCTGACAATCAAGTACTTATTCATTAGCCAGTATTTGTCTTCTCCTGTTGATTGACCTTGTGTCTTACCTGTGTAACCTATGTAACCAGTAACTACACTCCTGTACAAAAATGGGCCAAACCCTACAGTAATTGCACAACATTAAGCTCTGGCCTGTTTTTTGCCTGGGATTGTATGTAACCTGTAAGCAATGTAACTTTTAATCAAGAGATATTGATTTTCAATGTTTTATCATGTATTGCAATATGACAGGCTAATGAAAAAGATTTTGTATGTATAAGTAACCTATAAGCTTAAGATAACAGTAGCAGCAATGATATTTAGCTATGGGGAATAGATTTAACAGAGGGTGGGTTTGTGACAACCCATGAGGGAGGAAGCACAGCGAGCTCAGGCAGTGTAGAGTATGCTGAGACAAGACGGGTGTGTGGCGGGGGGGGTTGAGGTCACATGATAGTCATGGGATGGTGTAACTAAGGGGGCAACCAAGGCAACTATGTAACCAACGCGACTATGTAAAAGTGATGTGCCTCTTGAGGTAGCAACCAACTATAATTGACAACATACCTCTTGAAGTATTAACCAATCATTGTTAATGAGCCTTTTGATAGGTGAATTGCTTTTTTGAGAATTAGCCAATCATAGTAGTGATATGCTTTTTAAGGAAGCTTGAAAAAGGTATATAAACTGTTCTTTTGTTGGGTGTGTCATCACCTTGGGATGGGGACACTCTGTTGCTTTTGCTTCTTTTCCTGCTTATTAAAGAAACTTTTGTGGTAGAAATTTATGACTCTCAGTCAGTGCTTCAGAGTATGACGTCGCTTTATTACTGAATTCAGGGAGCAACCACTTCGTGCCATCTCCGTGGTTATGCTCGAAAACCTTTATGCTAACATCCCCTTTATAGTGGTACACAAACAGTTTGTGTCCCCTCCCAGAACGGGACCAAACAGGCTGGAGTGAGACACATACACTTTATGCAGTCTGCATATTGTAAAAACGAAGCATATCCACTTTGTACAACTTTAAGCATGTTCCAAACTTACATTTCTGTTATCTTGCCAGCATTTCTGCTCCTATCTAATGAACTCACAGTTCAACCACATATTGCTACACTAAGGATATTGTAACACTCTTCATTTTCTTGAGCTTACATTCTTGGGTGTTAGCTGCCTAACACACAGGCTCTCTTGCATCAGTATACAAAGTTACATTCTAAAAGCTGATTACAAAAAATATCCCTTTAGACAGTTTTTCTCTCACACTCCCCTCCTTTGACACAATATCATGAAAATGCATTTGTATCACAGACACAGG